GAGCTGACCGCAGTTCCCATGGATTCTCCTCCCCCACTTCCTACTCAATGGCAGAGGGGGCATTTCATCTGCACCACGGATGTGAGTGAAAGGCTGGTGGCTCTGCCAGGCTGGGGTGTGAGTCACACTGAGACCAGAGCCAGCTGCAGGGCCTGAGGAGAGTGAGGCACTGGCCAGGAGCTCAAACAGTCCATGGACCTGGAGGGCTAGAGCCTCACCGTGGTGGGAAGAGGAATCCTAAACCAGCAACAAGAAAGGAGGCACTGAAGGCTCTGTAAAGGGGGCAGTAGCTGCACATTTGGTTAAATTCTTTTTTTTTTTTTTTTCTGTAATAGGTGAATGCACCTTCTATTCTGCTGTAGGACACGTTTGGCCCTGTTCTGAATAGATGTCTCAAGTTGATGGGAACGTCCTCCTTCCTGTGAGTGAGGTTTAGACTGAAAGTCACACAGTGGTGGGTGTGGGGGCATCTGTAATGTGGCGTGCCCGTCAGTGGCTCCACCAGCTGCTCAAAGCAAACTCCAGGGTGCAGACTCAGTTGGGTGCCTCACAGCAGGATTTGGCTTCTCTGGTGATGCAGGAGAGAGCACAGCACCCATGAGGAGCTGCACAGATGCATACTCAGTGCACTGCCAGGCCCATGACAATCTAAAAAAGGGTCTTTGTGAGCCTCAGTCACTTGTGTAGGAGATGCGTGGTCTCAAGCTCCTCCCTTGACAACATCAGCTTCTCGTCTGTAAACAGAGCAGACACGCCCACCTCAGAGGACTTCTGCAAAGCACTTTGTAAACACTTCCTTCTCCTGAGGACGCTGTGTCTGGTCTGGGTGGAGCAGAGGCTCATCCAGTGGCTGTCCCCTTTGTGCAAATGCAGATGCCATGGAAGTCCTGGAAGAGCTCCAGGAATGTGAGGAAAGACACATGGACTATTCAAGGCCTTGGCACATATAATACTTAGAAAATGCATCTGCCCCTGAGTACCTCGCTTTAGTGAAAAAAACATCACACTATGAGAGTTCACTGTAGCCCTGACCCACATGCTCGGAACCTTCCAGTCTGTTTGTTCAAGTATGACCTGAGGTGCAGATGGAAGGCCACGCTTCGGTCTGAGTCCAGTGTTGCACTGACCGCTTGCTGGCAAGATCCAGCCCCTCTCTGGGTCAGCTTTTTCATCCCCAGGATTCCATCCAGCTCAGAGTGCCTGTGAGTTCCAGGTATCCCGAGGTTTCAGGCTATAGTCTAATTAAAAATGAAAAAGGAAGAGGAAATTCACCGCTGGTAGAAACCTGAGGCCACACAAGATCTAAGACCCACCAGGAAAGGCAAAAAGAAAAGACAATGATATGAACCTCCACTTATTTTCTAACTCTAGTCCTGAGCCAATGCACGTTTTTGAAAACGGACTGCCCTTGAACAAAGAAGGAAAGAAAGAATGCTGTTTCCTTCTTTATTAATCTTGCCTGGGGAGGCTTTTAAACCCTTACTCCTGGTTTCAGTCTGAAAGGGGCTGCCATTACAATCTGCGGGACGCACAGCAGAAAGCCACGGAGCCCACCCTGGAAAAGCTCGAGTCCGAGGGCGCACCTGCCGCTGACGCCCCGGGCGTACACGTGCCAGGCACACACGCATGGGCCGGGCGCACACGGGCTGGGTGCATGGCTGTAGCGAGGGTGGGGGCTGCGGGGCCAGCTCCATCCTCCTCACGAGACCACCTTCTGATGCCCTCTTCTAGCAGGATCTGGGATAGGGAGGTCTAGACACGGAGGGCGGGGGTGGAGGTGGCCAGGAGAATGGGCGATGTAGGATCAAGAACACCTGCTAAGGGACCATCGCGACAGCAGGGACCCTCAGGCGGCAGCAGGCTCTGCCCCACCGGGTGCTCAGTGCATGCCCTGGATTTTAAAGGGAACAAGATCCCCGTGTTGAGAAATAACTTGCCATAGGCTCTGCCTCCCAACGTCCTAGATGCCAAAAAGCTGAGGAGAGCCTGGTCCCACCCTGTGACCAAAAAGCTAATCCACGTAGCAACGAGCATTAACTCTTAATGCGTTTGATGCCACCAAAGCATTTTCACTCCATTGCATCAATCGCTACAATATTAAAAACAATATACTGACATAAAACTTGTCACGGACATTCCAAAGACACCCCCACCCCCCAAAGACCAGAAAACGGGAAGGGAACCCTCTTCTGGCTGTTATCAGCCATGTGTTCCAGCCGCAGTATGTACAGCGAGACCATGTGCTGGACACCGGGGAGTGTAACAGGTGACCCAAATCACCGCTTCCTTCCATCTGGGGAAGGAAGACATGGAGACCAGGACTCCACCTCGTGCCGCAAGGGGCCAAGCAGCACCAAAGGCACAGCCTGACTCAGGACCAGCTGGTGCAGATGCTGCAGGGCAGGTCGGGAGGATGAGTCCTCATACCAGGAGCGGCATGGCTGTGACGGGGGCCTCATGGCACCCGCCAGTGACCCCCATATGCCTCCTTGGTGAGCCAAGCCTGCCCCAGCCCCCTAAGTACCTTCTGAACATTTCTAAGACTCACTCAGCTGAACTCAGAGAAGAGGAGAAAGTCGGCCGTTAGCTGCACACAGGGTCCCATCGTTCTGAACCCATAGTAAGAAACATTCTGTGTTGTGACCTGAACACAGAACTACGCCTGTATATGTGAGATACCAGTGTTTTCTGTTCTGTTCCATCTCTCTACAGAAACGCCCATCACAGTCCACAAATCAAAACTTCCCCATGATGACAGCCACCTGGGATCGTGCTGCGAATCCAAATCCCAGGCCTTACCCTAACCCACCAAATCTAAACCCCAAGGCAGGGCCCAGGGCCAGGCACTTGGCTTTGCATTAATCATGGGATGACAATGATGGGGAAGTCAGGGAAACAGAGGAAGGAACGGAGACCACCCATGACCACACCTGGCTGGGGCGCAGCAGTCCCTAGAAGCCAAGGTGGAGGCAGAGCCTCTGCTGCCCAACCCAGGAGCTGGGCAGTGGTGGGGCAGGGAGAACCGAGAGTCAGGAACAGCCACAATCACACAGCCTCTTCCACAGGCGCTAATCCTTTACAGAAATAAATTTGCCTCTTCAAGCTGGAATTTAGTAAAATCTGCTGCCACATTCTGATCAGCCTGAGGGTTTCTGAGGCTCCACTGGGCCCCATAATTCCAGTCTTTCATCTCATGTGCCCAACACTACCCAAGTCTAATCTAAGGTTTAAATGCCATCGTTTAAACGTCTGAGGTTAAAAATATCCAGGAAGGTCATTAAGTTCCAGGCCCAGGGCTCCCAGCCACAGCCTGGGCTCCGTTCCACCTCGCAGGAGCGTAGCAGGTGGGTCCCAGTGCACAAGTGTCTGGCTGAGGTGAAGGGGATTCGGGGGACAGCAGAATTGCTGAAGTAGGAGACATTGAGATTCCATCAGGGAGAGGAGGATGCATTGTGTTCCTCCAAGACCCCAGGGGAGGCCCCTCAGGAGCCCTGCTGGGAGCTGGGGGCCCTCTGCCTTCATAGCTGCGCACACTTTTACCCTGTAAATTCTCACACCCCCTTAGCTTCCTTAAGTGCGTAAAGAGGCCCCTCAGGAGCCCTGCTGGGAGCTGGGGGCCCTCTGCCTTCACAGCTGCGCACACTTTTACCCTGTAAATTCTCACACCCCCTTAGCTTCCTTAAGTGCGTAAAGCAATGTAAAGTTCTTTCGTGCTATTTTTACATTCACTTCAATTAGTCCTTTTCTAAACTCACAATCAAAATAGTGGGTGTTTTCTTTTTGAGTGAACGTATTACTGATTTCACTTTTTTGTGATGCAGGTTTCTCCTCTGAGACTGAGAGAGCTGAGACCCATTCAGCCCACACATGGCGTGTGAGGAACTACAGTTGAGACCGGCCCGACGCCTCGTGGCCAGGAGCCCGCGCGTCACATCACATCGGCACCCCAGTCCTCAGGGGAAGGTTCGCTCACTGCCTGTCATGACAGCATGAAGCTCCCGACACGCAGCATGTGTACTGCTGGCCAACCACGATTTCGTCTGTCGCAAGGAGAGCTGGAACCCCTTGTTAATGAGACCCTTTCAGAAACTCTGTGGCTCGGGTGAACCCTTCCCAGGCTCCCTCTAGTGACCTATTTTGACTTGGCATTTGTTCCAGTGGCTTCCCAAAGTGCTCTGTTACTTGGGTTTGTTCTTACAAACGCACCAGCTTGGTAAACAGAGCCCTGCGAAGGCAGCAGGTGGCCACTGGGGAGATGCCACGCAGGTCGCAGGTTCAGCTCCACCTTGGAGGGGAACGGCTGCGATTCTTTCAGGAGGTGCTGGACTGTGAAGGAGACGTGGGTGTGTTGGTTTGATGCCAAAAAGGACCCTGAGTGTCCCTGGACTTGAAGGTACCTGTAGATGGCTCATTAGCAGCAAGCTCTGACCCGGCCAGCTGGGGGGCCCGGGTCCTGCACCCTGTGCTGCTGGCTTTAAGGGGTAAGGGCTGAAACATCCTCTGTCCACACCTGGCCACTCCTTGGCTCCCGGGCGCCATGTGGTGGCTGGGCTGGGCCAGCTCCCTCAGCGCAGCTGTCCCTCCTCACCGTGGGCTGGAGGCTACCTGATGACAGCCTCTCGCTGCAGGGGGAAGCCCATGGTTCCTTTTCTCACCACAGAGAACATCCCTGGACAGTGTCAGCTTTAAAATGTCTCGGTTCCTTGTGACATTACTCATCTGTGGACGGGCGCTCAGATATTCAGAGACAGATAGCCATCCCTGGACCCCGTGGACTGTCCTCATCTTTCAGGCCCCCGCCCCCTCCCCTGACTCACCCCTCCCCTAGCACCCACTTGCGCGGTGCAGCCCCATCTGCTCCCCCCGCTCCCACCCCCACACATCCGCACACAGCCTGAGAAGCCGACAGCGCCCTCCCACTCCAAACAGCCCTGGCTCGTCCTGCCCTCCCGGCGCCTGCACAGACATGCTCCTTCTGGAAGACCAGCCAGAGCCATCGGATGGCGGAAAGACAAGCTGCTCTGATCCCCAGCAGCCAGATCCCCAAAGACACCCAGAAGCCAGGGACCTGCTTTTACCTGGGCAAAACCCAACATTTTGTCATTTCCTACCAAAGTATGTGTTCTATGCAACCTACTAATTATGGCACATATACCTGTAATTACAATAATGCAGCTCCCACCCATACTCTAGGTAGAAACTCTTAATTGTAATTCAAACAATTAGCCCAGCAGCACATATTTTCTGAGCATCTGGTACACGAGGACGGTGCAGGCACCGAGGAGAAAAGCTGCATGGCTCCTACTTCTGTCAGCCCGGAGCTCCCGTCCCTGCTTAATTCCATGCCTACAAAACACCCGATTTTTTTCCCCTTAAATTATGGAAATCTCAAGGTACAAAAAAAACTTTTGCAAAGTGGAATACATAAATTGGCACTGGCCTTGGAAAGATTCTGCAAGTTGTTTTCATAACCTCTCCCTAATTAAGAGAGATACAATAGTCTTTTCTTGGCATTACTGTGCAGTCCTTAGTGTGAGTGTGGCTGGTTCGTAACAGGGACCCGTGGCCACGTGATTTCACCCCGAAAATGAGCCATAATGACCCCCCCCCCCCCAGTTTAAGAGAACCCAGAGCAGCGGCTTCCCACTGACTAACATGTGAAGCCTTCAGACGTCCCTGTGCGCCCTGGAGGGGAGGGTGGGGCGGGGGAGCCGCTGTTCTGCTCAGTCCTGTCTGGGGTTCGTGGAATCCCTCCCGGGTTTCTCGCAGATATGAAAGCTGCTCATGACTGAGTCCTGCCGGGGTTGCCGATCGGACCCGCGCGGGCAGCAGCTGCGCCTGGGCTGGGCAGAGGAGCGGATCAGCCTCCCCACTTAATTACATCGAGATTTCCCAGCTGGGTCAAAATCCATGATTTACAACACGCCAGTTGCTCCGAGCCTTGGCCCTGAGCACACACTTCGGGAAGCCTCTGTCTCTCTCAGCCAGAGGAAAGGGGGAGCACCACGGAGGCCCAAGGCAGGGGACAGGAGGACTTCCTAGAATTCTAAAGGCGAATCCACCCCAGCCTACACCAAGCCTCGGGCCAGGGTACTGGGAGAGGTGCGAAGGGATCCCGAGTCACAGCCCATAACAGCCACCCTGCTCTGCGGGGGAGATGCCCCACGAGTCGCCACTCCGACTGGCTAGAACGGGGCGGACCGGGAGGGGGTGCCACCGGTCACCCCGAAACCGCCGGAGCGCAAACACCAGCGCGCACAGGACGCGCCGGGTCCCCGGGGATGGGCGGGCTTGGGAGAGCGCTAGAGCCGCAGAGAGCCCAGGTCACCCCGCCGTCCGCCCGAGGCCAGCGACCCCGTCCGCGCCCGTCCCTCCTCGGCCCCCCGGTGCCACTGTCCGGACCGGGGCCGCTCCCGCGCCCCCAGCTCTGGTACCCGATCTGGGCCCGGCTCGAGTTTGCAGAATTCGCGGAGGCCGCGGCGGAGCCCGCTCTCGCCCGAGTCGGGTCCGGTGTGCGCGGGTGTTTGTGACGGCGGGAGTGGGGGCGTCACCTCACACCACACGGACGGCAGAAGGGGGCGGGGAAGGGCACGAGCAGCCGAGGACTCGCCCACGTCCCGCCCCTCCTCGCGGTAGCCGGGTGCGCCCCCCACCAAGCCAGCGCGGGCGCCGGGAGAGCCCCGGACCCCCGGGACTCCTCCGCAGATGTCCCCCTCGGGTCGCGGGCGCCGCTTCGTCCCCCGCTCCTTCCTCTTACCCGGGATCCGGCAGAGGCGACGCGGACGGACCGGGCGGCTGCAGGTCCCGGCTTCTGACCGCGGCCGCCCGGACCTCCATGAAAGCGCCCGGTGCGGCCCCAAGCGCCTCGGCCGACGCCTGCCGACTCCGGGACTCCGGGCGCCGTGAGGGGTGGGGGCGGTGCCCAGCCCAGCCCCGCCCCCGGCCCGGGCGCTCCAAACGCTCCTCCCCGAACGCCCTTCACTCCCACCCCACGCGCAACCGAGGTAGAAGCTGCGCGCGTGGCACCATCTCCGTTGTCGGGCAGGTGCCCGCCCCCTGTCCCCGCTCCGACCCCGGCCCGCCCGGGGTAGCTCCTGGCCGCGCTCCTGCCCCGGGTCTCTCCAGTGTAGACTCCTCCCCCCCCCGCCCTCCGGCGCCCCCCTTGCCGGCTCTGGCCCCGGGACCCTCCGGTGCAGAACCCCTCGGCCCCGCGGCGCGCGCAACTTTACCTTGGGGCCGGGACCCCGCGCCCGGCGGGCGGCCTCCTCCGGGCGGAGAGCGGCGTCTCCGGAGCCGGCAGCCCCCGAGTCCGGCATCGCCCCGCGCGCCGCC